TGCGCCCTTTTTATAATGTTCGTTTCTCACCCGACAAGTTCTGGCAATTTCAGGAGATTTTATTTTCAATGCGACGCGTGAAATTCATTGAATACTTGTTCTGTATGAAAAATATTTGCGACTGCTATATCCCGCGAGTTCAAAGCGATTCAGCCTGGTCTCACTTTTAATTAAAATCTAATTGAATCCTGTGTGTTCTGAAAGTTGGACTTGGTTTCTCTGGGAGCGAATCTGGTCAATTAAGTTTGGCTGACGACGGGTGTAACAAGCAATTGTGAAACGAGAAGAGGCCTTTATCCCGTTTACGCGGGCCGTCGCTGGTGCCGGTAGAAACTTGATCAACCATTAGGATTGCTGCAGCTTCTTGTTGGATTCGCGGCGAAACTCGACTCGCTAACCGTCGAGTTCGCAGCCAGCCCTGGCTGTAACTTAATCGCAGGTTCGCTTATAACGCGACCACGGCTCTGAATCGTCGATGAAAATCGTTGAAGGGTTAACGCGTTTTAAAATTGTTTTCACTGCTCTCGCGATCGAAAGCTGGAATTTTCGGAGCGAATAATTGAAGCCGGCTGTTGCCACCTAAAAGGAAAAGGAGAAAGCCGTCTGGTATAGATTCCTGTCTGATTCGCTCCGATATGAAACGATTCATTTGAAAAAGTAGCATCTAGCCATTGTTCTAACGTCAATCTTTTTGCTCGGAATAGTTTTCAAACAGGGAATGATAAAAATATCTTTGACGTACGTTAGGAAAGTATCTGTCCAACTTTCTTTCCTCTTTCGTTTGGCAATTTCTTCGTTTCTCTTTTTTATTCCTCGTTCTCTGCTGGCAACCAGGAACACAGGAAATGCATTTCTTTTCTGGTCGATATGGCAATCGTCGGACGATGCTCCTGCGACATTTCCGTGGGATACTGTGATATTTAGAATTCCTGACAATCACGTCGCTCACTCAATTATAATTTGATAAAGGAATATCGTACCGTACTATGTTATGTAATAGGACATAGCCGTTTGTCATAAATAATGAAGTTGATACGAGTATATATAGTCTAGACTGCTGATCTTTATGTAAAATTAAACGTTTAAATACATTGAAACGTATCTTCGAATGTTCCGAGTACCGATTTATATGTTTGATTGAATTTTCCAATTCGAGGAAGGTTAAAGTTAACTGTAACGAGCACGATTTATCCCGATGAATTTCAGGATTTCTCCTCGAAATTACAAGCCGCTTTTATGCGCTGTCACGCTCGCGTATGCATATCCACGTTCCGGATCCACTTCGTAAAATAAAGATAGTCGATATGCGTCTCCCGCGCAAAGGTGGAACGAAAAAAAAAAAAAAGAATATGAGAGTGGACGAAGCTTTTCCCGTGTCCCGGTTAACGCTGCCGCCTCTTCAAAGTATTAAAATAGGCTGCTGCAAAGTAACTTATAATGGACATAAAAAATTGAATACAGAAAGAGATGAAAAATGAGAGTGTACACCTTTTCACTTGGCACCTATAGATTTCTAGTAATTGCGGTGAACCTCTAATTGACGTAAAATGCTTCAACGGCTCTCCGTTGCAATTACCGTAAACAGTTTACTCTCAGTTAAGAGCATTCTCATGAATTTCGCATTTAGAGCCCTCCGTGAAACGTACAGGCAGAGTCAATAAGGAGCGGTACGTATACATATATTCATTTGTCGTCCAATAATTTCATTGAAACGCAGCATGTATTGAATTTATTGATTAAACGAACTCTTGGCGAATTGAGATTCAATTCTCCAATTTAGACCTTAATGTCAGTGGACAAGTTTAATTGATATTTCTTATCGTTATATCTCCAACGATATTCAATCGAAAGCGCAAGAAACACAGAAAGCGTGTTAAACGCACAGTCAAATAGTACGCGATCGAAGTTATTTGACCGCGCGTAAAATTCGCAAAGCAATTTCCTGGTCGGAATAAAAAAACGCATCGAACTCCATGCCGAATAAGGGAAACGTTTCTCGCCACAGTTTCGAATGCCGAGAAAAGTTGGCGAAGGGAAAGTTGGAAAAGGCGCGACGTAAAGTTTCGGCGGAATGAAACAAAGGGCTGAGGCCTTGCGACGAAAGGACTGAACTCGATTATTTATATTCGCCCGGAAATCGTCCTTATTGTCTCGCAAGTTGAAAGGGGGCTTCCTGGATCGCTACTACTTTTCAGAAAGGATCGTAACTCCTCGACGATAAAATGTGGTAATTTATGGGAGCCATAAAGAAACCAGCTTAACCTGAGAGTAAATGTTTCTCGAACCAAACGTGTACTTAATGCAGGGATCAAACACGTGCTTGATTGCAGTTATCTTCCGACTTCGCTACTGTTTTCGATTCACTCTGGGAATACGACGCGGTTAAATGTCGAGTTAAAATCATTTTATCACTGTCAGCGGAGACGTCCTAGTAAAAAGAATTTTTGCATTTGAAACATCGAACGAAATTCGTTTTTCTTTAGACCGCGTTACGCGTAGATCGCAAGAAATATTTGCTAAGTAGAATAGAAGACCGGCGGCAGTGTCATTAATTCAAAAGTTTCCAAGTGCGAGTCGTTAATGCTCGAGATTCTCCAAAGAAATCCGTTTATTTTGAAGGGCGACTTGTTTGCGATCCTGTCATTAAGACTTTTTTATTGCTTCCCCCGGACCACCATTTAAGTCGGAACTTACATCCCGTCCGGTAGAACTTGTGTAACAAAGAAACTTTTCATCCCTCGGACCGAGACAAACAAAATACGTTTCCCTTATTCTGATGAGATAGAAATTCGATAATGTTTCATTTGAAATCCTCCCATCGATTTTCCAGAGAAATCCATGCAAATTAAAAATAGTCTACAGGATTCTAAATGAAGAATGAATATTAGTAAAATGTTAAATCACAAGATTTCTGTTCTCCAATCGAAGCATGCAATTCGTATTTCCAGAGGTTCTACATTTCCGCATTATTCGCTCTCGCATGTCAGTTCTCTATTCAATCCCATGTATGAATGGAGCACGGCCTAAAGTACTTCCTACCGGGGGGTCTCCTCTCGAAATTACACTAGCTGGGTTACAATCGCTTGAAAAACTCGAACCTGGGCGACCGTCCGTTCGTTAGGTTCTCCTATCAATCGCTGCAGTGATCGATACGCGTCGTCCGAAGAGATGGATTTTTATTAAATGTTCGACGCGTTCGGGGAAGTAAAGCGTAGCGCGTCACAAAGAAAAGTAATTTCCCATAAAAACTGGTTGCAGCGAAACAAATTTTCCTCGACGTCGTTTCTCATTACTTTTTTTACCAAAGAATATTCTGTATATTTAAAATAGTTAATATTGTTCGACGGAAGCATCAAGCGTATTATCCATTTTTTGTCATCAGTGAAATCGTAATTCTTCCTGGATATGATCTTTTTTTATTTTTTACGCGGACGAGTATTTTATTCTCCACGTTCGTATAATTCACACTGGCTCGACTGCTTTTTACATCCGCGGAAAAAAATTGTGTACGGATCGCGTTGTAAATTTCCCGATTTGCTGCCGCGGAACGGCGGCACGGATTCCTCGTTTGTTTCACACGGTCTTCTGTACGTGCGTCCTGTAAATCTTTAATTGTAAATTGAAGCGAGAGAAAAACAGCACTCATTGTTCGGGCGATACAATAGACTCGTTTTGACGAACAGCGGTTCGCAATAGAAGTCGTTCAAACGCACGTGTAAATTCCATCGTATTAGGAAATTGCAGTTAGAGATCGAAAATCTAGATGTTCGATACAAGTTGATTTGGAACGGGAAGGAGAGAAATAGGGACTGGGAGTCACGAACGAAACTATTGGCAGAATCGAATCGCATAAACGTTCCCGCTCGTCGATACTACCGGTGTGCTTACAGTTTTATCGTGGACGGTTTCCTGTCAGGGTGGAAGCTGCGCAACGACGCCGACCCGCATTTATATGCCGGGTTCGTTCAAAAGCAACGACAAACCTATGGGTAGAGAACGTCGCGTCAGTTCTACCGATACAGTCATTCTTTTTCCACTCCTGCGGTAGTCGATCGTAAACTTCTCTCCTTCCACCGAAAATGCACCCGGCGAGACGGTGTATATTTATATACTAGTATCTTTTCACGTTTCTCTATCCGACGTGAAAATCATAGAGCAGAAACGCTGGTCAATTTAATAAGAAATTTGCCTCGTTGTGAAATAGCTTTTTTAAACGTAGAATAATTTCTCACATTCTCGTTGGGGAATTTTATTTTCAATTATGACGTAAAATAGTGGCTCGGTATTTAGGAAATTTCTTTTTTATGACCCAGCTGTGAGTAGCATGCGGTGTTTTTTTGAGGCCAGGGTAGCTCTCAATTAAAATGGATCGCATGTATGCGTTTCGTCATTAAAAAGCAATTTTCCATGCTCGAATAAAAATACGTGACGACAATAATAACAAGCGACTGGTAACGAACGAACGCGACGCTCATGAATAAAGTTATTTTTCCCATGCGAGATCGTCCAAAATTAATGGAAACTTATTTCCCATAAAACGATTCAATTAAAATAATAATTTCGTGCGATTGTCTAATTTTAAACGATATAGAATCTCTCTCGACGCAAATCGGCAAAAGCTGTTATAAACTATTTCGAAGTTAGATTGAAATTATTAACGTTCGAACGAACAGTGCGTTTAAACTTGTTCGTAAATTCTTTAATAAATATTTGTGAGAAATTCTCTGAGACGCGCGCGTTCATAGAATGACTATACAAGCAGAGTCACTGTACAGCATTTGCAATAAATTGCTTGTGCAAACGGTGTGTCTCAAACAGAGTGGATTCGGGAAATTTGCAATATCAATAGGGCGAGGTTCGCGTTCAATTTTCTATAACATTTGCGCTGCCGAGATCCAGGATCCTTTTATTTAAACACTCGGCGCTCTCGTACAAACACGAGGCCGTGGATAGTTAGAATTTTCCGTTTTAAGAACTTACACAGAGTCCGCGTTACCTACCTTGAAAAGTGCAGGTATGCCTTCGCCAGAGCCAGACGAGCGTGCCTAATGTTTCATATCTTCGTCAGACGTAGTCCATTCATCAGGATTCTGTGCAAATGTATTGAAGCTTTCATTAAGGCTGTTCCTCGTCTGTTTGGATAAAAGTACACAAAGAGCACGATCAAACAGACAGTTCATACATTGTACCGGGAATTATTCGACCGAGAACTGACAGCAGATTTTAAAAAACTTCGTTCTTTCCCATCATGAAACGTGTACGAATTAAACGAGAACGTTTTCGAACAAAACCGGCGTCGCTATAAATATCTCGGTAAATCCGCAGGAATTCTGGAAACTCGACGGGGCCGCCTTGACTCAACGCGATAAATAGCGTTTGTACCTTGGAAATCGCGAAATAATTGCCCTATATGCGATCCACGTGCAACCGAAACGGCCTCACGTTCCACCACCGTATAATCTTTGCGAAATTAAAAGTTTCGACACGCGTACCGAACGTCTGAAAAGTTTCCACGTGAAAATCAGACGGGTCATTGTTACACGAGAGAGCGAAAGGCCCTTTTCTAAAGTAAACTAAAATATCTCACTGGTTTTTTGCAATTAAGCCGCGCCCACCTCTTGTTTCTTTCCCCACGGTTTATGGGGGTCTTTATCGTGGAATTCGTGAAACGCCGCGCTCTGTTTGCTACCAAACATCGTGGTATTACGCAATCGCGTACTTCTTCGGAATCCGAAGGATTCGGGTCCGGAAATCGTTGGCTCAGCAGTAATTCTCCCACAAAAGAGAGAACCGTGAATTATTCGATTTATCTTGGAACGCAAGTTCGCACGTTACATAAACGAATCGATGTAAGGCCGCATTAATTGAAATAAAATTATTCAGCCTGTGTACGACACGACTCGTTCGTTTTAAATGCTCTAATGAAGGAAGATATTATTAGGACTTTCATTAGTTGACTGACGGAGTAGGTTAATTGAAAAGGTATATCGAGGAAAGCTGCGCGACGCTCCGGTGAGCACGGGGTAATCGTAATGATAGAAGAAGCGCAGAGTCAGTGGCTCGAAATAACGACCGGTCATGTAACAGCGACCATTATGATTTCTAAACCACCTATTCCACGTTTCCATCGTATCCTCATAGGCTATTTGCATGAGCAAACCGGTCCTCCCTTATCTCGGTTCGATTAAACGCAGGAAGTAATGCGAATAAACGTTAAAAAACGATTCTATGATACATGTTATCGGTTTAATAGAATGAATTGATATTCGATACTTAATTGCGATAAACCGTGTTCTGTTTCTTATTAGAGAAACATTATTTATGTATCCAATGATTAGAAAATGTCTAACCCTTTATAACTATGAGAGATAAGAGAACGTCGGAACGAGGGTAGTCGAAACCGGAAGTTCTTCGCTTTGATCGGCACGTGCACGTTTCGAACGAGGGTACACCGTCTCGAATACGTTCGTTTGGTTCGCAGCGTCGAGGGAACGGAAACTTCACGCTCACCGTAGGTGGATACATAAATTAAAGCGGCGCAGCGTGTCCTTCCTTTTATATCCGATGCATGCCTGTTTAAGGACATTCGTAAAACCATTTCGAGTAAAAGAGATGTTGCAGATTAACGTCGGTCGAAGACCTTGACTGAATCGCAAAAAATGTTACTAACGAGCGTTCACGGAGATTTTCTTTAGTCTACAAAAGCAGAACGGAAAGGACTGCGAGATAATTCTATTGATTCATATCTGATGAATTTTCATTCTGGTTTCGTAACATTGATATGTCAGTAGTTCTAGTATGTCTCGTGTTAACCTTTCGAAAATAAGAATCTCGTCACGATCGCGATATAAAGCCGCGTTTAAGAAAATCACAAGGCCTCGAAATTGCTACCTAAGGGAGTTACTAATAATTGGCCTATAATTTCGCTAAGCACGTAATACGAATTATCGTTAACCGCCGCGCGTACGGTGTTCGTCTCGCGGCCGATAAACGTGGCCCACTCATTTTGCAAATTACAGGCTCGACCGAGTGAAACGTATGGAAGGAGAAATCGAATGCGACGTGGCCCCCACATAATTAACGTTATCGCCTTTCCATTATTTCCAGCTATATTTATTTTCACCACCTTACACCCATCATTTCACGATTCTGACTCTTTCGATGCGTAACTGTTATATGATAGTATCGATTGACTACCTTGTAATTATCAACTGTACTTAATTATCGTTGCGCAACGTCGTCGCGGCAGCATCTTTCGAGCGATAATATGCGTGTAATTAATTTATGGTGTTAGATAAAATCGGTAATATCTTTGGCAATTTTTTTGTCAGCGGAGAATCTCCATGAGCGGTACCTTCGAGTCTGCTTGAAAATCCCTGTAGAAATTCTCCTTCGACGAAAATTGCTGAAGAAACGATTCCGACCGTACGCCGTTGTTACAGACACGAAAGTGCAGACAGCTGTTCACGCGGAAACCAGAACCACACGCGGCGTAAAGAGAATGTGTGCATACACCGTCTCCCAACCATAGTACATATATCGTTAAAACATAGAGGGATCCTTTTGATAACGAGCACTGAGAGTAGGTGGGTCCTCGTGTATTCGGGCCCGTCTGCGTTTTACTCTCTCTCTTCTGGGATAAGGTTAACGAGGAATATCGCGGAACACGAGCTACATTAAGGCCACGCGATTCTCACCGGTAAGGACGGTTTACCAACGCGTGAATTTCCCTTGTACTTTCGAGTTAAAGTCAATTTGAGACACTCTGCTCGTATGCAAATCAAAGGGAGTTACATTTCCCGCGCGGCGCGAGCTGCTCCGACAGAAATCCTGTGACTTGTTCAGCGTTCAGTTTAACTCATTATTATTCAAATCTGATTTGTTGAAGTCACGATCTGTCATCGGTCAGAACGGAAAATCTGTGAGTGTGTAAATACGAAGCTGAAACAACAGTTCTTAAAACGTGACAGTCGCGTCGCTGAAACCCCGACGTGTACGAAGCACTTACTCGACCTAATCCTCGAACTTGCAGACCGCATTTCCCAACACGAACGAGTCAAATATACCGAGGCAAGGCGCGCGAGCTCGAGATAACAGAAAATCATGCACCTCTCTCCGTAGTTCTCAGGCTGATTGCCAGTTAATCTCGCTTAGCCGCCAGGCATAAAAAAAACGCGATCCTGTTTCACGGGGGAGCTTTTGAAATTCCATGAGCGAGACAGCGCGGCCATAAATCGCGACAGCGGTTTTCACGGGCCATTTCCATCCATCTTAAGAACATCTCGAGGTCGAGGTAAGGGAGTATCGATAGAAGCCACAGGTAGCAGTTTGCCAGTAGAAAAATCACCACTGGCTCGTTCCTTGGGTCGGTCTTCATAAATACGCGTCTTGTCAATGGAAAGTACAGTTATTTCAACCTCTCGTCGTGTACGTCTACTCGTCTACCTACACAGCGGTTTCGCGAAACGACAATAACCACTGGCCAGGGAGAAGTTCGTGCTATAAATATAAATTTATCCGAGAGAGCAGCGAGAGCTGATTTATTTTCGGGATAAGTTCCAGGGTTAATCTGGATCTAAGCATATTTTCACACGGGATATCAAATATTCAGACTGGGAGAAACTTTTTTAAATAACTACTTTCTATTAGGTTGCACAATTTTGCTTATGATGAATAACAAATTCTTCTTTCTCAAAATTTCGAAAAATGCTTCAAACGATAGTTGTAGATACAAAAATGGTCGTATACTATTATTACTCTTTGATGAAATATTTAAGAGGCACAATTAGAATAGATTAACTAGATGTCGGCCACTTATCATATTTGTATTTCATGCATGGGTTTCATCGATTGTTAGCCAGTTAACCTGAATCTAAATGATCGGTCGATGTTCAACGCGGCATAATTAATCAGGCTGGGTGACATACTGCTAATCGTCGCATAGTATTCGCGTCGTTACTGCATTTGACAGCGATGCCAATCAACCGAGACACGTGAAGATTGTGTATATGCTCTATATGATGTATAGTAAAAAGCGATCTGGCAGAACCCTTAAAATTGGGTTGGAATAATTTGACTGCGGTCCACATAATCTGTGTTCACTATTGGAAATTAATTGGGCCATCGTTCGAAATTGAAATTTGTTTTTAAGGATGTATAGGCTATAAACTTAAACACTGCTAACA